CTTTGGCATATGTCACTTTTTAAAAAAATATTTCATTTATTTATTTTTAGACAGAGGGGAAGGGAGGGAGAAAGAGAGGTAGAGAAACACCAATGTGTGGTTGCCTCTCATGTGCCCTGTACTGGGGACCTGGTCCACAATCCACGCATGAACCCTAATTAGGAATCGAACCATCAACCCTTTGGTTCACAGGCCAACACTCAATGCACTGAGCCATACCAGCCAGGGGGTGACTTTTTCTAATTATTGAGGCATAGTTGTCATATAACATTAGTTTCAGGTGTATAACATGATTCAATATTTGTATCAAATTTCAAGATGATTACTAAAATAAGCCAAATTAACATCCATCACCACACAGTTACAAAAAATTCTTTTTTCTTATGATGAGAACTTTTAAGATCTACTCTCTTAGCAACTTTTAAATATACAATATATTATTAACTATAGTCACTATGCTATACATTACATCTCTAAGACTTATTTCTTTTATAACTGGAAATTTGTACCTTTTGACCCCCTTCACACATTTTCCCGCCCCTAGCACCTGCCAATCTATTTTCTGTATCTATGAGCTTGTTTTTTTTCTTATTTCATTTAAAAGTTAACTTGTATGGCATTTGTCTTTCTCTGATATTTCACTTAGGATACCACCCCCTAGGACCATGCGTTTTGTTGGAAATATGCTGAATAATATTCATTGCACATATATATCATATTTCTTTATCCAATCACCCATTGATGAATACCTAGGTTACTTCCATATCTAGTTTATTTAAATAATGCTGTCTTTAGATCCATTCCTAAATCCTCAGCCTCTGTCATAGTACCTGGTAAACAGTAGATGCTCAAAAGGTATCTGTTCATTGGTTTCACCAGTAAAACTAAGTAATACTTGGTTCAAAAACCGAGTATTCCAAAAAGATGTAAAAGAGTCCTGTAACTTTAACCAGCCTTTACCAGGCGTGTCCAACCTGTGGTGTGTGGACCACTCGAAGCTCAGGATGGCTGTGAATGTGCCCCAACACAAAACCGTAAATTTACTTAAAGTATTATGATTTTTTGTGTGTGATTACGTGTTGCAATGTATTTAATATATGGCCCAGGACAACTCTTCTTCCAGTGTGGCATGGAGACACCAAAAGGCTGGACACCACTGTGAGTCTAAACTATAAGACTAGTAACTGAAGTAGTGTTATACAACATGGCACTTAGGCAGTTACCAGTGAAACTCCAAAAAACACATTGTATTAATACATTTCCAGCATAACATATTAATATATGCTAGCATATGGTGAGCATAAAATGAAATTTTTATTTCTTCTTTGTTCTAAAAATGCAACTCATACAACTTGGTGCAACATTTTAAATTTAATAATTACTCTGAATTTTTAGTGAATTTCACAATTTATAGAAGAAATTCTAGGTATTGCACTCAGGTTGTTTCAGTCACACTTCTGATATTCTAGGAAGACAGAATAGCCCAAAATTTTATCACCACAATTACAACAGCATTGCACATACCAGGCACTAAATAAATGCTCATTAAATAAAACTAATAAATACTGAAATACGTCTTATTATATAATTTTCAGAAGAATTTGTATGACATGTTACACATCCATAACATGTATAACTTGTTACACATGTAAAAGTTATAGAGTGACACTCCTATGTCCCTCTGTAACTTTTATGGTAGAAGTGTCACTTCTAAACTAAAAGAAAGTATACCCAAGACATGTACAAGAAAGCATACCCAAGATGTACAACTGATTCATATGCCAACAAGTATCTTCTGTCTTGCTGCTTTTATGGTCAACCTTATGTGATTATACAGGTGCTGATTTGTGATAGGTATATGTAATTTAGGTTGCTAATCCTTAAATAGTCAATATTATTCTAGATATTGTTTTAATCAGTTAATAGTAGGGGCTTGTCTAGTACAATGAAAAGGAAAACTGTTTTCCCAGTCTATGTCCTCAACCTCTTCCTACCCGTGCTTTCTTAGAATTCTATTCAGTTCTTTTTCAATTTCAATCAACTCATTTCTACGTTCTAGTCTGACTACCACCTCCTCTATCCCTTGTTTCTTGAAAGAGTAACCAAAATTTATCATCTCCACTTCCTTATCTTCCCACCATTTCCCAACCTGTAGCAACCTGGCTACTTTCCTTAATCTCCTTTAACCTATTCTCACCAAGGTCATTCCTCCTAGTGGCTAAATCCAGTTAAGGCTGTTCAATCCTCAACTTGCTTTATGCTCTGCAGTGTCCCTGTCTAATACAGTGACCACTACTCACACATACAGCTACCAAGCACTTCAAATATATTGCGTACAGATAATTTGGGTATGTGAACCTTAGGAAATCAAAATACAGACCAAGAATTTCTGATGAATATAAATATAAATTAAGATGTAACATGTAGATATAAGTGTAACATACACACTGGATTTCAATGACTTAGTATGAAAAACAGTCTATAAAATAATCTCATAATTTTTGTATTGTATGTTAAAATTAGTATTTTTGATATATTGGGTTGAATAACGTTATTAAAATTAATTTCACCTATTTCTTTTTATGTTTATTAAAGCAGCTACTGGAAAATTTTAAATGGTGTCTGTATTATTTTATTTCTATCAAACAGTGCTGCACTAATAGCATTAGATACTAGAATGACTGCCACTCCTTCCTTCTTGAAATGCTGCTATTTACCTCCTCTTACTTCTTTGATGCCGCCCCCACCATTTTTAGTGTGCAGTGTAGCTTATTCTTCTACTCACTCCTTAAATGTCAGTGTCTCACAAGGTTGTCCTGAGGTCCTTTTGAGGTGCTCTCCCTGGATGATCTCACTCTCACCCAAGGCTTCCACTATTCCCTCACACTGACTGATGACTACAAACCCTTCATTTGCAAATCAGCTCGCTCTCCTGAGAACGGTTTATTCAGCTGCACCTACGTGTAAGCACATCTGCACTTAATCTGCTATTACATCTTTTGGATATTCACCTTATTAATATCATAAATCTGGCCCCTCTTATCCATTTCATTCCGGTCCTCACAATTTCTCATCTTTACCACTACATTAACTTCCAAAATTCTATCCCTGACACCTTCCAAATCAATTTCCTTTTGCTGTTAAGTTTCTAAAACTCACACCTGGCCATATGACTTCTCTGTTCAAAATACTTTGGTGGTTTCCTCACTGCCTTCAAGGTAAAATAAAAACTTCTTATAATCATACATAACTCTTGTTGCTTACCTGTCTCTCAGCTTTATGCTTCATCAACAGCCCTACAAAATCCCAACCTCAGGTATGTCTAAGTACCTGTAGTCCCCTGAATGCAACATCTGCTTTCACACCATCATGCTTTCTCTGCACATGCTCTTTCTGATGACAGCAATACCACTCCTAAAACTCTGTCCCCGCTCTCCCAGTCATCCTTCAAAACTCAGCTGTGTCATCATCCCCAGGGGAAATGTCTCTAAACCTGTAAGTCTGAGCAAGTATCCCTCTCTGTGTTACCATCACACCTTTTACAGCTCTACTGATAACCCAATCACACTTTTCTTGGGTGGTCTGGCCAGTTCCTAAATACCCTGAAGGTTGGAATAAAGTATTTTTATGTTATTTCCCTGTGTTATACTTAATAAGTACTTATTGATAAACAGACACTACAGTATATAGGGGAAACTCACAGAATAAAATGTAAGGCTAGAAATTTTTAAATGGACTAACAGAGTCATGATTGAAATAAAGAACGTTAACCCCCAACAATCCTAGAAAAACTTTAATTAGATGGTCTATTTTAGGATGTTTTAAGCTAGGCAATAGAAAAATATAACCTAAATAATCACTAAAACATCAAACACTCAACAGAAGCAACAATTTAAAATATTCAATATTAAATATATTTTTCTATTTATTTACCTTGTTTTTCATACCATTTTAACCCGAATTCTACTTATTAGTTCCTTTCTTCAGCTCTTTACATTATTTTCCTTCCAACTAAATCTGGCATTCTTTCCTTCCCTTACTTTTCACTTCTACTGTCCCTGTCCCTTTTATTCCTCTTTCAACATAACGTAAAATTACAAATATTGTATTTGTCTTGTTATTAACAATTTTGTATTAGACAAAAGAATAGTCAAAAAAGCATTGAATGAAATTGTATCACCAGTCAGGTTGATAGACAAAACCACATGCATTAATCTGGGTGGGTGAGTTCATAATACTAAGCAGTAATCTGAACCATATGTATCCTAAGTGGAGTCTGACAGGCATCAGTGAGTCCTTGGGGTTATGGCAGCAAGACAGTGGGGAGTAAGAGAAAAGAAAAGACAACTTGCTGGTAGGGAGGGCAGCCACAGCTCAGCCTCACAACATTCTGCAACTGTGCCTGCCTTTCAAAAGGAAGCAGAAACAAGAGATGGGAAAGCAGGAAGCTGTCAGCTATCTGTCCTAGCACAGTTGAGTAACTAATTTGATGGTGTGAGCAGCAGTAGCCAAGTAGCACCATGTGCTAATCTGAACATACTGGCCTGTGTGCCAACTAAATACACAAAATAAAGACTACTATTCCCAGGGAACTTCTGAATTTTAGTTTTACTACAGAACAGATTCTCAGAGAAGCAAAGAAGTGCTTTGCAGAGGAATTACATAATTATAATATTTATACTAAGTTGGTAGGGAGAAACAATTATTTGACGATGTTTTTTGCTAGAGGGAAAGAGAATGCATTCTTTTAATTACCTGAAACTAAACTTTCAAAACCACTCAACATTAGGTCTTGTAGGAAGATTCACCTTAACGACTGATGTCTTACAGAATTCAGAAAAATGAAATCTCTTAAATAACTTTACATTCGTCAAGATAATGTAACAGCACAGACTATGTTTGAATTGTTTCGAAAACATCCTAGAACTGGACTGTCAGAGCAGCACCTTTAAAAAATCAATTTAATTCAAAGCAGTACAGAGCAAAATTTACTATCTTACCCGTGTCCAGGAGTTAAGTTTCAAGTCTCCAGAACTCCGTGGTTCTTTTTTAATCAGACGACATAAGCAGCATATTATAATTTTTTGGCTTTCATCTACAAAAAGAAAAAGTATAATGAGGCTTAATCAAATAAAATGGAAAGATAATCAGTTTAAAAAATGAAAACATTATAAGTACAGGAAATATATTAATTATATTTTAGGAAAATCTCAAACTACTAAATTCACAGAACAAGCATCCAGGACTACGTGTGAAACTTAACTTTGTGGGTTTTTTTCTTCTTGTGGTTTTGGGATCACATCTACTTAACATTTGTGTGGTCAATTCCCTTTCTGTTACAGCAGCAATTTTTAAAGCCAAAAGAGAATGATGGAAAGAACTTGGCTTTTCTCAAGGTCAGTTCTTTATTTCTCATTTCAAACCATTTGTAGTTTCAACCATTTTAAGGCAACAAAATTGTAATGGGCACTACTCAATATTCTGACTTAATCTTTTAATTGTCTAATTTCCTAAAATATTCTCACTTGTTAAAAATAAATTCAACAAAAAAATTGTTTAATACCAAATGGTTGAATGAAAAAGAAGCCTTTTAACACACTTCTAATTCTTTACTCTAAAATTTAAAACTTTACTAAATACCTGATGAAAATGCTGAACTTTAAAATCTTATTATATTCAATGAGAATGTCTACTTAGTGAGCCATTTCTTTTTTCTTGTTTGGAAACTGAGCCCATTCCAGCTGGAAATTTTGTAACAAGACTGAAAAAGAGAGGGAGGCCTAAAAACTGATGGCGGTTACCTGAACTAGAGCCAAGCAATGACGGACTTTATCACAAGGCCACGGGGGTGAGGCTGAGGAAACCTAGCACCTGGAACCAACCCTCTGCAGAATCACCTAATGCCCTTGGTGCGGGGGCAGAAAACTAAATTTTCCTTCCACCCTTCTAAATTCTTCTGTCTGAACTAATAATCAAGTTAACATGAGACAGATTAACAGGAGAAAATGACCAAATTTTTGATGTATGTACATGTGGCAGGCTCCATAAGAATATGGGACCGGAAGTTAAGGCTTCTATGCCATCTTCAGCTAAAGAGAAGGGGGTGATTATTGTGTAGTCTGAGACTTTGAAAGGCAGGAAGACAATTCACATGGAGATGGAAACAATAAATATTTTGTGAGTAAATGTTGGCTGGACTATCTTTCACAATGGGACACAAAGAAGACTGTGATCAAATGGCCTTCCTGGGTGTCTCCCTGTCTATCACACTTAGTTCACATTAAACTATATTATCTATGGTAATAGCACGGTTCCTAGAGCAGGTTCTCAATCTAAATTCTTAAAGTACTTGGGGGGAAGGTCAAAGTTTTTACTTTTTAAAAGTCTTTTATTAATTCAATCAGTTTAAAGTAATCAATATTCTAGAAGGCACATTTTTGGCTGGCAAACTCTGCTTCCCCTCACCCGTTACCTTCTTACTTTCTGCCATTTCAGAAACACAGCATTTCTAAGGGTTTCATTAACAAGAAATAAGGAAAATACAAACTACAATAAGCTATCTCTGCAATTTTAACCACACACCAAAAGACACTAACAGTAACTTTTAAACCCATTTTCCCCATAAATATCTATAAACTTATACTCCTAATAACTAACATTTCTAAACAAATTTTATCAGAAATTATTGTAAGGGATGTTCCCTTTCCCCCCTAGTTTTTATGAGCTCAAACACAGCAATGGCTTGCCTGAGATCAACTTATTTCAAGAATCATAATTTAACCTCTAATGATCCTGGATTTCTTCAGGTTGAACCAATGTCACTGATTAAAAATGTGACTATTGTATGTACTATGCCTTAAATATATTAGAAGAAATTCCATCTTCTTGTGGTAAGCGTGACAGACACATCTAATGATAAGCTTGAGGCAGGACAGAAAGAAGTTAGGAAAAACTCCCAACAAGTGGAATGAGGAACTAGGAGTGGACATCATAGGCCAATAAGCTGCTAGGTAGGTCCTCTAATCAGAGCCCCCACCTCCATGCATAATCAGAGAGAAAATGTTTATGGCAGGAAACTTCTGCAGTGGTTGTTGAGTGCAACAATAAGCAGCGCTGGCTAAACCAGATCAATCCAAAAAGGAAGAAAAATTGACCAAAGACTGACCTCAACCTTATTTTAATGAAAACAGAGAGTGCAATTAGAAGGGGAGCCAGGGGATGAATGCCATGACACTGCTGAGGCAGGAGATAGGAAGGAGGAACTTCAGAGGTGCCCCAGGGCTAAGATAAAGGACATCAATACAGGATAGAGACCCTGTTCTAAGACCAGTTATTCCCACTTCCTGGAAAAGCGCTGAGTCATGGTGAATCATGACTGCACCTGCACAGATGCTACATGACCCCTGCTTCATTATAATAGCATTAAAATAAGTTAACATTGTGTGCCCCCCTTCCCTGGTGGCCAATCAAGGAAAATCATGGAGACCACATCTGCAGTAGCTTTAAAGTAATATAACCACATGTACATGCCCAATAAAAACCCACCAAAACTAGCCATGAAATATCTGCCCTGTAAGAATAGAATCCCTCCAGTCCCTGAAGTCAATCTCTACTCAAACTCAATCTCCATCTTCTGTGGAGTGTACTATCACTTAATAAATCTGCCCTCTCTCTTTCTATTATAAACTCTCTGTGTGTTCAATTCATTCTTTGTCCATGACCAGCAAGAATCTGGTGACCTATGCCCACCTGTGACACTTTCAGAAAAGACCGTATTAGTAACAAGGCCACCCTCCAAACCTGAAGGCAGGGACAGAATTTGGCAGCACAAAGTTGAGAAACTGAAAATACATAAAGTCCCAGGAACCGACAGACTGCACAGCCCAATCAGTCATGAGTCGCTCATGTCCACTGGGATGTGCATTTTTGCTTCTTTCCCAGAGGTTGCCTGTGAAACTTGCGACTAGGTGGCAGTGGGCAATGGTAGCCAATTCCAGGTTCAACCCCTGATCCAGTGTCCAGAAACCCATGTTCTGATCTCTTTTAATTTTTATTTTATTGATTATGCCATTACAGTTGTTCTATTCCCCCCTTCATTCCCCTCCACCCTGCACACCCCCCACACCTCCCATTCCCCCCCTTCAGTTTATGACCATGTGTCTCAAGTTCTTTGAATTCTACATTTCCCATACTATTCTTGCCCTCCCCTATCTATTTTCTACCTACCTTCTATGCTACTTATTTTCTGTACCTTCTCCTCCCACTCCCCTGTTGCTAACCCTCCTCGAGATCTTCATTTCTATGGTTCTGCTCCTGATCTAGCTGTCCTTTTAGCTTGCTTTTGTTTTAGGTGTGGTTGTTAATAACTGTGAGTTTGCTGTCCTTTCACTGTTCATAGTTTTTATCTTCCTTTTCTTAGATAAGTCCCTTTAACATTTCATATAGTAAGGGCTTGGTGATGATGAACTCCTGGAATTTGATCTTATCTGAGAAGCACTTTATCTGCCCTTCCATTCTAAATGAAAGTTTTGCTGGATAGAGCAATCTTGGTTGTAGGTCTTTGGATTTCATGACTTGGAATACCTCTTTCCAGCCCCTTCTTGCCTGTAAGGTCTCTTTTGAGAAATCAGCTGACAGTCTGATGGGAACTCTTTTGTAGGTGACTGTCCCCTTAGCTCTTGCTGCTTCTAGGATTCTCTCCTTCATTCTAATCTTGGCTAATGTTATTATGATTGGCATAATGTAATTATGCCTTGGTGTGCTCCTACTGCCTTTGCCAGACTGGGGAAGTTCTCCTTTATTATTTGTTCAAATAAGTTTTCCACTGGTGGCTGTTCCTTTCCCCCTTCTGGTACCCCTATAATTCGGATGTTGGAGCGTTTAAAGATGCCCTGGAGGTTTCTAAGTCTCTCCTCATTTTTTTGAATTCTTGTTTCTTCATTCTCTTCTGGTTGGTCATTTTTATCCTCCTTCTGGTCTACTCCTTTGATTTGAGTCCCAGTTTCCTTTCCATTACTATTGGTTTCCTGTGCATTGGAAATTAGTTTAGCCTTTATATGTTCATTTTCAATTAGTTTAGCCTTTATATGTTCCTCTAATTTGTGACTAAAATCAACCAGTTCTGTGAGCATCCTGATCACCAGTGTTTTGAACTGTGCATCTGAAAGTTTTGCTATTTCTTCGTCACTTAGATTTATGGGCTCTGGGGCTTTGAGATCTTCTTGAGCCATTTTTGGTCTATTCATGCCCATCAAGTATGAGGCGCAGAGCCTTAGGGGCAGGGCAGGGCCTCCAGGGCGGGGTCGCTGGTTTGTGATGCTGTATGTGGGGGTGGGGTCAGAGCCAGGAAATGGCGGCCATCTCTGCTGCCTCCCACCACTGGGACCCACTCGGTCCTGTCTCACTGCCCACTCCCTCACTGGTCTATCTGCGCAGGAATGCGCCAGCATAGTCAACCCGCTGCCCTTCACCCTCGCCGGATCCGCTGGTCGCTCACTGGGTCACGCTCACTAGGTGGCTCAGCTGGTCGGCCCTTTGCAACCCCACACCTGGGATCCGAGCGCCTGAGTCCGTCTGACCAAGTTTTCCTGTGCAACCCCGCTCCGCCAGGTGCTGGCTTTGCTCCTATTACCAGTCAAGCTGAAGAATTCGTTGCTATAGGACTTCCGAAAAGTTCAATTTTCTGTGTTCTGGCTGTGTTTTCTGTTGCTAACATTTTGTTGTCTCTAAACTTGGTTGTGTGAGAAAGCACAGCGTCTCCACCTATGCCTCCATCTTGGCGGAAGTCCCTGATCTCTTCTTTATCCACCTAAATAAAACTTGCTTTTGCTCTCACTCAGACTTGTTCTTGAATTCTCTCCCACACAGGTCAAGAACCTGGGGGTCCTGGACCATGATCTGGTAGAACTCCAACTCAGAACCAGTCCAGTCACAAGCAGCTTCTGGGTTAAAAAGAATACAACCTAGTGGGACACATTTCAAAAACTTAGACATTCATGGAAGGAAGGGAGGGAGGGAGGGAAGGGAGAAAAACAAGGAAAATGTTAATTTCTAGAGATTAAATCTAAAAGAATGCAAAAGAAGGTAGTTTTTCCC